GTGTTGTCCTTGAAGGGTTAACTTGCCCAAAACAGTGAAAGAAAAAGCTGCTTTTATGTGAACTTCTGCAGACTGGGAACTTCTGCCCCCCACCTTACCCGCTGGGCATAAAGTTCTAAAACTACCTGAACTCGGAATTCAGACAATTAATTGATTACAGTGAAAGTTTTACCCTCTGAACCTGGCTGCAACCAAATAACACTGTTTTCCTGCTATCTTTGATGCCTTGCCTCATCTGTCCCCTACAACAGAGGAAAGGAGAGAAGATTAGTTAGGAGGAGCCTGGTCCAGTAGCCCAGGTGGGAGGTAATGAGGGCTTAAATTAGGGTAGTGGCAACAGGGATGGAGAAGAAAAGCTGAAGGATGGCAGCAGCATGGAGATGGGACAGGCTGTTCTGGCCGACTAACTGGGGAAGGGAGGAACTGGCAAGGAATGGAGAAGCAAAGGAAAGGCAAGGGCTGAATTTAAGATTCAAACTTGTTTGTTGGAGGTGATGATGCTGCAGTTAGTAGAGAAAGAAGAGGAGCTAATGGGGAAATAATGAGTTCAGTTTTGGACATGGTAACTTTGAATGCAAGGACTTCCAGATGGAGATACCCAGCAGGCAGCTGGAAATGCTATGGATATAGATTTGGGAAGCATCTTCACAGAAGTGATGGCTAAACGGTAGGAATTGATGGATGAGTTTCTGAGGGGGAAGAGAAGAGAAAAGGGAAAACAGGGAATGGAGGGGGACAGCAGAGATAAAAAGGGAAAGAAAAGAAAGGAAGAGAAAAGAACCTTGGAGAATTCCTATGCTCAGGGGACTAAGGAAGGGTGAGTAACAACACAAAGGAATTCATTACTTCTATAAACAGATAAAAGGGTATCCAAGACACAGATAAAGAAGCTTGTACACACAGGGGCAATGGAGGCAGAGAATTCCAACAGTGCAGCATACAGAAACTGAAGGCAGTAGTTGACTTGTTCATGAGCACTTATTATAAACCTCTAGTTTGGCACTTAACACACTCAGAAATAAAAGTGATAGTAACACTGACATAGACAATAACTGTAACATACTATAATGCTAGGTATCTACTGTTCTCTCTCTCTCTCTCTCTCTCTCTCTTACACACACACACACACACACACACACACATACAAACACACACACACAAAAAACCCCCACAAAGTTTACAAAGTAATTAGCAATATCTCTTCACAAATGAGGAAACTTAGCAAGGATTAGAAAAGTCCAATAATTACTAGTCACATTAGTCAAGATTTAAACAGAATCTGGACTTGACAGTCCAGGCCTGTTTATGCTTCACAGCTTTGCTATTTAATTATTGTTCACAGGACTCCCTCACAAGGCTACAAGAACCTTGAGAACACTCAGGCATAGTCATCTGGGGGTACCCTGCACCTGAGCAGAGTAACTGACACAGAAAAGATCTCAGGAAAGTGAAAGATGAGTGAATGAACAGCTTCAAGGAGTAGGGCTGTAGGCTCTCCATCTTATGCATCTCCCCCAAAACAGACCTGTTATTATGCCCAACTTTCTCATGGCTCCTTATTATCCATTTGCCAGATTCAATCATTTGGCTCTGAAGTTCTGAGTCCCTCTTCTTAAAACATAATGACTTCTTTAAAAGTCATAGCTACACAAGAGAAATACCCCCAGTGTATTCTTTAAAATACATGCTGAAAGATATTTTTTTTATTTTAATACTATATTAAAAAATTACTTTTAATAAAAATCATATCTCATTAAAGGGCCTGTTCCTTAAGTTTTAGAGAGAACTCAATATACTGAAGTGTTCCTTGTGCCTTGTTTCTCACTTGGGAGAACTGAGTGAATCCACCACTGCAGCTGTGTTCCTGAGAGAATGTTGCCCTTTGAACAGAAGGCAAAGGTACTTCCAGATGAGGAGCACAGGTGATATGAAAGAACTGAGGCAAGGGAAGATGCTTTTGAGATTTATTTATTCAGAATTCTAACTTATACAAATGATCTAAATTATAATCTTTTGATAAAGCTATAATCTAATATTAAATAAACAACTTACCATTTAATAAGGGATCATCATTCTTACACAGGCTCAAAGCCCCCTAATGTAAAACTAAATGAAAACAATCACCTGTGAGGAAGAACTCCCTACAGTGTTAAAACCCAGAGGTATAGAATGTGTTTTACTATTTTATTATCCCACTTTTCATATGTCCAATCCTAATAAATCTATCCAGAAAAAGCATTAAAATGAATTTTAAATTCAAACACATGAGGTAGGTAGATTGATAAGATGCCTAATAATGCTTATGACTGTGACCTTTAGCTAATTTTTTTTTTGGTAAATTTCATACACACCTATATTCCCAGCTACTCAGGAGGCTGAGGCAGGAGGATCACAAGTATGAGGCTACCCTTGGCAACTTAGCCAGACACTGTCTCCAATTAAAAATATAAAGGGCTTGAGATGTAGCTCAGTGGTAGAGGGCCCCTGGGTTTAATCCCCAGTACCACAATAAATAAATAAAATAAATTACATGCAGACAACTAAAGACATTGATGAAAATATGTACAATTTTTGCCAAAGAACCTGAGGTATACCCTGGTCTTTTCTACTTTTTAGTTGTCTTAAAAATTCTAACTGCAACCTGCTAAAATTGATTTTGTAACCCACTGATGAGTTGTAACTACAGTTTTTTGAAAAACAGTGATTTAAATCATAGAATATGATATATTAAAAGAGCTAGAAAATAATATAAAATTAAATTAAATTATCACCTTTTAAAAACAAACCTGTCCATACAATGGCACTTTTTTTTTTTTTTTACTAGTTCATTGTAGTGATACAAACAGCAGCATATAATAGTTGGGTTCATTTTGACAAAATCATATATGCGTAGAATCTGATTTACTCCATTTCAGTCCCTGGAGCTCCTAGGCCTTCCCCTGTTTTTCTACTCTACTAATCTTCCTTTCATCTGTTTATTTATTTATTTATTTTTGTGGTGCCGGGGATTGAACCCAGGGCCTTGTGCATTCAAGGCAAGCACTCTACCAACTGAGCTATATATATATATCCCCACACCATTTATTTATTTTTATTTGGTGTTTTATAGGTATACATAAGGGTGGAATTCACATTGTATATACTGTATGTACATTTATATGTACACATAATATGTTTTTGTTAAATTCATTACATATTCCCCCCTTCCCATCCCTCCTCTCCCCCTCTCAATCCCCTTCTTCTACTCCACTGGTCTTCTCTACATCTTTATGATATCATATCCCCTCCCCTCTCCTCATTTTGTTCTAGCTTCCTCATAAGAAAGAAAACATTCAATCCTTGATTTTCTGAGTCTGGCTTATTTCACTTAGCATGATGTTCTCCACTTCCATCCATTCACCAGTAAATGCCAGTTTCATTCTTCTTTATGGCTGAGTAAAACTCTATTGTGTATATATACCACATTTTCTTGGTCCATTCATCTATTGATGGGTATCTGGGTTGGGGTTCCATAATTTGGCTATTGTGAATCGTGCTGCCATAAAAACACAAATTTTGTGTTACAACAAAGCAATACTGCAAATTTATTGATCAGTGATAGAATGACTACCTAGCATGCAAGAAGAACTGGGTTCCATCTCTAGCACCACAAAAATAAAACAAAATAAAATAAAAATCAGGATATGCCAAACATTTAAAATGTTAAAGAAAAAATATAAATCTAGATACATAATAATATCTTGATTATGTTTGAAAATATGCACGCACATGCATAAACAAAGAAACCCAAGGTCAAAAACTAGAAGTAAATATGGTGAAAGTTAACATTTTACATCTGGGTATCATTCTTAGATGTTCAATACACAGAAAGTTCATGCATTTTTCTATGTGTTTGAAATGTGTTCTTTTTTTTAATTTTTTTTTTTTTTAGAGAGAGTGAGAGAGGAGAGAGAGAGAGAGAGGAAGAGAGAGAGAGAGAGAGAGAGAGAATTTTTTTAATACTATTTTTTAGTTCTCGGCGTACACATCTTTGTTGGTATGTGGTGCTGAGGATCGAACCCGGGCCGCACGCATGCCAGGCGAGCGCGCTACCGCTTGAGCCACATCCCCAGCCCCTGAAATGTGTTCTTTAAAAATGAAAAGAAACACAATAGGAAAAAGTAAAATATTATCACGTGGTACTGAGTGTTACTGGATTTTTAGTTTCTGGGTGATTTGTTTTCCAAACTGCATACAACTCACTGATCTCTTTTTCAGTCTGGAGAAAAAGCTTTGTATTTTAAAAAACAAAAATTTTTAAAGGTAGATAAGGTGTGTTTCTCATGGTAAGAAAAAAAATTAACCCATATTTAATGAACCCCAGAGCACTAGGTTGGGTGTGTTTTTGGTTCCTATACTTCACTTTTAATTTTTCTAAGATTTAGTCAGAGGGCCAAAGTTTAAATGGTATTAAAGAAGTGGGCTCAGTAGCAGAGCACTTGCCTAGCATGTGTGAGGCACTGGGTTTGAACCTTAGCACCACATAAAAATAAACAAAAAAAGGCATCCTGTCCATCTCCAACTTTAAAAAAAAAATTAAGAATGATAAAAATTTTTAAAAATAGTGTTAAATAAGTTATGTTTAAAACACACACACATTTAGCAATTTGATGACGGTAATATTAGTTCTAAAAGAAAAAAATAAACGCTTATGAAAATTGTTTTAAAGCACTATAGTTTGAGAGAGACTAAAAATAGTCTGTATGTCATAGATTTTTATATAAAATTAGCAGGAACACTGAAGGTTAATTTCCATTGACAAAATGACCCAAATTGCATTATTACTGCCATATCTATCCTGAGACTAAATTGTCCTAGACTTGAAACAACTTTTAAGGCCTGAGGTGACCAGCCTTTAGAATCTGGGAGCTGTGGCAGTCATTGACATGGCTCCAGGGCCACATGCACATCCCATTTGAATTAAATTCCTGAGGGACAGCATGACCAAGGAATTGCCTCACCAAAGTCCTCCCGAAGCTGCAATTAGGTTTGATAGGCATGTGGCAGAAGACGACAGGTGCCTGGAAAAAGGAAAAAAGAGAAAATAGAATGGGGGTAGGGTATAAGGTTTGTTGAGACAGGGAAATCAAGACAGGAGCTTTTCAGAATGGTTACTAATCACTAGTAGTTTACTAAAATATGATTGAAATAAAAAATATTTAAAATGATATACTAATACTAATTGATCACATTTGCAGTTAGATGTGCCCAGCCACCTTGGAATTGAACGTACCACCAGAAAATAACAACAGCAAAGATTTTCCCCACTGAAATGATAACTGAAGATTTTTTTAAAGTATTAATGGAAAGAAATGAGGCCATTTAAAAAATAATATATTTATTATACTGAAAACTCTTTAAATGATCACATATAGTGATTTTTATGCACAGACCCCTTTTGTYCACACTTTTTAAAAAATCAATTTAGGATTGAGGCAAAGGGGTAGAAAAATTGAGTGTTGGAATACAGGTATCATTACACTGCGCAGACATGCAAGCCTCACACTACCACTCAAGCAGTGACACTGACTTAAGAGCTAATGTGCTGTGAATTACACTTCCCACTACCACAGCCCGTTTGTGCAAAGAATAAATCAACCTGATGTGAATGAGTGTTTCCTAAGCACTGAGTGCTTTTCTGAATGCACAGTCTCAGTTTCAATAGACTCTGTCACTCAAAAGCAACAAAACAGCTCTCAGACTAATTTTGTATCATTTTCTATGGTTTTACTCACTCTTGTAAGTAGTTATGTTTTTATAAAAAGAATGCTTCAAAGTAAGTAATGAGTATTTAGCTCTTGAAGTATTGGTCCTCTTAGCTAATGAAGGGATTCAATTGTACAAAATCTAGAATATTTGTACTTGAACAAATTGAAAAAGACAAAAATGTAGAAGGTCATTTGATTTTCATTTACATAACACATTACTAAGAGACTAAAGCCAAATGCAAAAGACACAATAGCAGATGGAAGCCAGCAAAACTCAGCAAGTTGGGGGGGAAAATGATGTTATACTTTACAGAGAAACAGATAATACCTCAAGGGCATGTTAGGGGGAGGGAGGAACTGCAAAGCAAATACAACAGATTTCAGCAGGAAAAGTGTGTTTAAAACATTACTGAAAAAATAAGACATAAAACCATATTACTGCAACACGGTGGTTCGGAAGTGCAAAATTTTTAAGAAAATCTCATTTATTTTTCAAAGTCAACATAATTCAAAATACAGGAGGCCAAGACAAAGGGAACTACAAGGAACAGGAGTGACAGAACAGATAACTTATGTTCTTTTTCCATGTAAAGAGTTTCCAACAGAGAAAAGATCCCATGATTGGCTGCCTAAGTTCAAACCCATTAGCTCTCATAATCACAAATGTTGCCACCCAATTAACATTAAGACCTTATAGATGTCTAAAATAGCCACCAACAGAGGCAATAAAAGGGAAGGATTACTATAATAGGAGCATCTTTCAAATTATGTGTGTCAACAGAAAAACATGATCCAATTTTTTAAAGTTTCATTTACATGGCACTTAATGAACAGGATGGCACCTATTTAATGAGGATATACCAGGAATAAATTACATACAGGTTATCTTAGCAATGTAAGTCTCAAAAAACATTTGCTCTATTCTGGCAAGTTAAAGAGAGTCTGGGAAGCTCCCTGAGGTAGAATTTCTAATTCACCACAGTGTCCCCAGTTTTTATGTGTGCCCTCTCATCTGACTGAACAATAATTGTTTGAGGTAACTGTCATCCAGTTTTCTGGTAAGGATACTGAGGATCACAGGGATACTTTTTTTTTTCTCCCTATCAGTTACTGTCATCAGATATACTACATATTTATAGAATATAATTTATTTTGATGATTTGTCTTGACTAATTGCATGTCTACTTGACTACAGTTGATTTCCAGTGCTTAAAATGGTGCCTGGCATACAAAGATATTCAATACATTCTTGTTTAATGGATTAATAATATATTCTGCCTGAAAGTATAAAGCTGTATAGCATGGGTTCAATTTAGATGTCTATCACTGGAGTTCATATTACCCCRAAGTGGAAATAAAGAATACAGCAGAATTAAAATTCAGAGAATAAACAGGAAATATGACTAAAAATTAGGGCTTTAAAAAGTGCCTTAGGCTCAGGATGCTGAGGCAGGAGGATCTCAAGTTTAAAGCCAGACTAAGCAACAGCAAGGTGCTAAGCAACTCAGACCCTGTCTCTAATTAAGACACAAAATAGGGCTGAGGATGTGGCTCAGTGGTAGAGTGTCCCTGAGTTCAATCTCTGGTACCCCATGCCCCAAAAGTGCCTTATGGGCAAGATGCATGAAAAAAAATTAAGTTTATTTCTCTTGAACACCTTCTTGAAATGTCTTTTGATTCCAGGCCTGGTGTATTGAGAGCAAGACCAGCAGAGGGGTCTTCAGGCATGTTCAACAAGTGTCCCAGGCAGCACAGAGCCAGGGTACCAAGGCTCATTAAACACAAGGCCACGGGAAGTCTTGAATAGCCCCCATTCACACAGATGCTGAGAAAAGTCTGCAGTACAGTGAAAGTGCTGTCCAGGTTRAAAACCAAAACTAAAAAAATAAAAACAACACCTCACAGACTGTAAGAGTAGCCAGGGTCTAGCCCACAGCCAAGGAATGTTACACTGAACGAGGATCTGCACAGGCCCAGCTTGTTACCCATGGCACTGTGCCCTTCTGGTGGTCTGTGACAGCTGATCCTCTAATATGGCCTACAAATTCACAACTTTAGGGAAGAAGATCATAATTTCTTTGTTCTTTTCTGAGTATCTTGGGTCCTTTTCTTAAAATTGGGCAGAAYGTGAATTTCTTTACAGAAATAGTTGAGTGAAAGGCAACTCAGTTAACAGAAATAATTTAAACAGTTTTTATTCCCAGAAATATATTAAAATGAGACACAAAAAAATCTGTATTTGAAACCTAATTACTTATGAGGTTTGACTTTTTGTTCCCATCCTAATAGCTAGATTTTGTCCTAATTAATATTAAAATAGTCTTTAAAAGGCAAAAAAAGAGTAAAGGACAGCACTATAGCTACAACGTCTAGAAAATGAAAATACTGTTGTCATCATCAAGCTTTGCCTCATTAGGATGCTGTTTCTGAGTTATCCTTCCTGAAAAGTTGTTGGGTATGAGCTGAAAATGATACCCTTTATTTCACTAGAAATGAGAAAAAAGTAATAGAAGGTAACTCACATAATCTACCCCACCCCACAAACAAGGCAATGGAACTTGAGAACATCTACCTGCATATCTTTTTGACTGATTTTTTGATGTAAGGTAATTATGCAATGGGGTGGAGGAATGTAGGAAATAAGCTAATATTTTTACAGTGAGTACCATGAACTACATAGTTCACATACACACCACACACACACTATATCACCTCCAGTTTATAGGTGAGAGTTAATGCTCAGAGACATTAGTTTCTTGTCAAAGGTCAAAAGTAAGTTGGAAGCCAGGCAGTGGGAGTGCATGCCTGTAATCCCAGCTGCTGGGAAGGCTGAGGCAGGAGGATGGCTTGAATCCAGGAGTTTGACGTCAGCCTGGCAACATTAGCGAGATCTTCTCTCAAAAAAATTTTTTTTAAAGAAATTTTTTTTTTAATTAGGAAAAAAAAAAGTGGGAGAGAAAGAATTCAAAATCAGAATGATCTGTGTACAAAGCTGCTACCTTAATTACTAGTTATTTGTTAAAGTTCTTTGGTTCCCAGAGACAAGTAATGCTAAGGCATGGATATGACTCCAGAGTATAAAGGGAGACAGAATTTAGTAGTGAAACAATCAAGCTAGGTTTTGTTTAYAGGTATAGTCTTTAACAATCACTGGAATATCAAGCAAAAATAAAACAGGTATTATGGATAATTTTTAAGCTCTATACCTACCCAATTTTTTAAAAATCCACTATTTACATTTCCTTATTTCTTTCTTTACATTTATTTCACTGTGTTGACCTGTAGCACAACAGATCATATTTCTTTCTTTTTTGGTTTTGAGAAAAAGGAAAAAAAGTTTTATTGCCTTGCTAGGAAAGGAGAAACACRGGGGACTCCTTCCCAGAGGCTGTGATTCTGCCCATCAGAAGGAACAGGAGGTTTTTAAAAAGGTGATCGAAGGCGACATTCCATGTGTTCTCTGTTGGAATTGTCATCCACTTGTTAATTTGAGATATAGTAATTTCTGAGATGTTCTGGYACCATCCCCAAAGTCGGGATTACTGCATTCCTATGGTGGGTGTGTACTCAGGGACAGATAAATCTGCCTAAAATGGGGAAAAAAGGTAATCCTGTTTTCCCTGAGATTGGGGGGAGGGAAATTAGAGAGGAGCAGGGAGAGAGAAAGAGAAAGAAACATGTCCATTTTAAAAATAAGTTGCAGTGGCAGAGCAGAAAGGGCTATATTCAAAGCATAAAGTGGACCACTGTTGCACTTCCCAACTGTCAATTTCTGCGTTCCATTGCTATGAAAAAAATGGGTGATGACATCTCCAAACTGCTTCCTGCTAAAAGAGGTCGAAGTTAGGGGAAGTAACAAAAAGTCCTTGTTCTCTATCAAGTGGGGTGTGGACAGTTAAGGGTATTCAGCATCAGAGCAGTCCAGAGGTCCACAGTGGCAGATGGCAGGTAACTGGACAAGGCATACATAGGGCAGAGATTATGCTAAGACAACAATAAATAAGACAGCAGAGTGTTACTTTTTTTTTTGTAAACAATTAGTACAAAAGCAATTAGTATTTCAGCCTGTCTCTGAAAACCATGAAGATAGTAACTCATAATTATGTAGGTGAAAAACAGAGTTTATCAATGTAGGAGGTTAGTAAGATTTGTAGGTCTATGAGATCAGCTCAAATTAACTCAGGACAAACTTGCAACTTTGTGATCATTATTATTAGGCACTCCCACACAAGAATCCTTCCTTTATATCCTCCAGCTTTACTTACTTTTGGAACAGATCAGATTTCTATACTGAAACATTTCTACCAATCCAA